GACTTTTCATTTTTGAAATTCATAAAGCAGTAAAGTTTATAAACTCTTTATCCACCCTCATTTGAGTCAGAAGTTCCCTCAACATCTTCTCACAAGATGAATACCCATCTATGTCCCTTCAAAAATGGACATAAATCTACATGGGTTTTGGATATGGATTTTGCTGAGATAATTGCTAAAGGTGAAGATGCTCTGATCCAGCCATCAGCTGGCGATCAGAGACAGAGAAATAGTTGATTTTGAAGGAAAATAATAATGGAATTTATTAATCTTTTATGTGGATTAGCATGACTAATTTATTTTGAAATTACAGCATTTGAAAGTTATTGAATTCTTATTGTGCATGTAAAATGAAGACCTATTACAAAGTAGACTGTAAAATATAGCAAAAACATGACTTTATACAGTAGCAAAATAATACATTAGTTTTAGATAAGGGCTTGTTATAGTGAATAAAATCATATCAAGTATGACTATCAGGTAGAAAGCTATCTATCCAACAACAAGCAGAACACCTCTGGTAGAAGAGTTTAAATCAATTAGAAACAATGCCCACTTTCTTATTTCTCATCTTACTTATGCTAAGCATATATATATATATATTCTTAAGTTTTCGCGGGTACTTGCATGTATGGAATTCGGCTTTGCTCGGGTATTTTCCCACGTCATAGTAGTTGTGCTTTTAAAGTTGTAGCGACGTTTCAGCAGAATCTCATCTGCCATCATCAGGCTTCTGTATAGTGTTCATCAGATGAACACAATACAGAAGCCTGATGATGGCAGATGAGATTCTGCCGAAAATACCCGAGCAAAGCCGAATTCCATATATATATATAAATAAAATTTGGAACTATGTAGCACCAGTACATTAAGGAATCAATTCAACAGCAGACCAAATTTAAGGACATTCCGAAAAAGGTTAGTTCACAGAAAGTTAGTTCACAGTAATGAATAGCAAAAAGATGCTCACTTGAGATCGAAATTTTCCTTTTTTCAAATCACTGTGGAGCATTCACAGCCCTATTTTATATGTATCTTGCTTCAGGGGGCTGGTGTTAATAATTATAAAAGATTACATCACTTTGACATCACTTCTTTTTTTTCTCTTAATATTCTTTTATATGGGCAATCTTCCTGTGTGTCATGATTTTCAGTCATTGTCATTAAAATCCCAAAAGAAATTAGTATATGTGGTACTGTTATGTACACTACGATGTACAACTGTATGGAACTATAAAATATTTTGAAGTGCTTTCTCAATATTTCAAGAGTGATTCTGAGAAATAAGGCTTTTTTAATTGTGAATATTACATTATGCTAAAAAGCTGTATTACAAAAACTTCTCTTTTTAAAAATTGAAGTATTGGCAAACTTTTTCAAAACTCTGTTTAGAAATGGCACTAGTGGGTGAAAGCTAATTAGATTATTTAAATTTATAGCAAACTACTTTATGATGGATATACTTTAAGACTGAATAGGAAAATTCAGTGTAATAAAGAATTTGTAGTTCCACATGTTCAGCGGCAATTATGTCTTCATTTTCAGAAGATATTGACTCAGGATTCTGATGGATGCCCTAATTAATTCATGAGTCTTGAGCCAAGTTTCAAGGTTTAAAGGTTTCTTGATCAAGTGTGCTATGTTTTAATGTGTATCATTTTAAAAGAAAAGTAATATGGTAAAAACTGTAATAACGTGACAAATAAGTTGATTTGAGCAGCAGTAAAAGTGGCAGACAAGATAGAATACTGAATACAAAAGATTTTATTACATATACTTATGTACTTATGTGTATACAGAAATTCACTAAAATTTACGTGCTGCTATAGTGGTTGTTTTTAGAATTGTTACCTGTTTCCCTAAAAATAAGACATATCTCAAAAATAAACCCTAGCATTTATGTTTGCTCCTAATATAAGCCCTACCCTTAAAATAAGCCCTATTTAAGAGCCTGCTCAGCTGGCTACCTGCTCATTTCATCTGAGTGCTCGCAGTACTGCAGCCACAAGGCAAAGTGAAGTGGTGGAGCTGCGCCCTGCGCTCTGCACTGGTTTACCTCAGGGTCCCGGTGCTTGCCTTATAGCGGCAGTCCAGATAGCCATGTGCAGGAGCCCATGTGGCTCCTGCCGCACTTATTCTGCTTGCTTGCGGCCACAATGGAGCAGGAAGCTGAGTGGTATGCTGGTGCCACAACTACAAGATAAGGTGTCAGCTCATGGTTAGCCTGGCTGTGGAGGCCCTGAGGTAAGCCGGTGTGGGGCAGTTCGACCACTTTGCTTCATGGTGGTGGCATTGGCACATTGTGCATCCTCCTGCTCTGCTGCAAGCAAGCAGAAGTAATAAACCATACATGGGGAAAAATAAGACACCCCTCCGAAAATAAGACTGGGTTTTATTTTCGGAAAAACACAGGTATTTAATTTGTTTTCATTTTGTAGCCTACTGTGTCATATAATGTTCACATAGCTTACTTTTGCTGTGCTCCTCTTCCACCTCCTCCCCGTAATATTAAACTATTTTCAACCAATTCTGAACTGATTAACAAAAATTGCTAGAAATAATTTAACTTAAATAATCATATATATATTTTACAGAAAGAAAAATGGTTTTGTCAGACAGTGCTCCATTCAAAATCCAAGAAAGAAATACTTAGACTCTTTTAATTAGAGAAAAGATATCTTTTACTGGAAATGAAGTGGTAGCAATCATAGAATTCTGAATCTGAGGAATTAGGCGTTTAAATCACATATACAAAGTGATGGAGTTGATCCCACTTCCCAAAAGTTCAAATGGTTCTTCCAATTAAAAGTTGTGAATGTCATCATGTGGACATCTTCAGGTGGTGATGAAGTTTCTGTCCCTTGACCTTGACATACTTTGATAAAGGTTTGCAGCTGCGCAGAGAAAAGAAAGCTAAGCAAGAAATAGAAACCTAAGCAAGAATGTGCTCTCCCCCCCCTCCAGTTTATACAATGCCAGTTTGTACCACCTCCAGCTCGCTTCCCATACTATCCCCCCTCCTCCCCCCATTACTTATGGCAGCCAAAAGATGCAAAGCAATAGAAGAAGATCTTGAAGGCTGACAGGTTTAGAGATTATGCTACAGAACAAATAAAATTTCCTTCAGAGTTCATTTGTTGGAGGGAAAAATTAAAATGTTGACAAACAACACATTTATCAATGATTGTTGCTAAAAATCAAATCTAGTTTTCTCACTTTAGTGTTGTAAAATTTTTATCTGACACTATCCAGAAAGTTGAGTTTTTGATATTTTACTAGATTCCACATATGCACAAAAGAATAGGTACAATTAACATGCAATTAACTTCAAAATGTGATACTAATACTAAACTATATGAACTGATGATACAGCTCCAATATCAAGGAGTTGGTTAAAAAGTGTCCTCTCTGTTTTATTATGAAAAAATATTTTGGTTCAGTATTCGAGAGACTGCATACATAACTAATATCGGCTTTCTTCAGCTTCTAATAGAAAGGGAAAATAGCTCAGGAAGCAGTTAAATGGTCAAAAACATTTAAAGCTTCAAAAGCATCATTAGCCCCTGCATCATAAAACAAATAACAAATGCTCAAGTAACTACGGGCAAAAAGTAAATCACAACTTTTTAATTTTGAAAGTTTTAAAAACGGCTTCCTTGCAGTGAAGTAACTATGAGATGGCCAGTTTGCAAAAATAAAAAAACCCACCACCAGATTTAGATGCTATTTTTATGCTGGGATTATCCCATAGTGTAAGTATTTATAGATGCATGTATCAAAATCAGTGCTGCAATCATGCACTTTCTGCTAGATTGGGGAAAGCTGTCTGTAATGAAAGTAGTTGTTAAAAATCTCAATACCCACTTTATCAAGAAAAATGATTTATAATTAGATCATAGAGTGGAATCTTTGCCCAGCATAAGAACATTTGTCATATTAATTCATTAAAGCTGACTGGCAAGGCTACATATTTTTTTAAAAAAACATTTCACCTGGAAGTTCTAGTAAAATTGGATTAGAAATCCAGCAATATACTTTTGAAACTAAATGGAAAACTATTGGGAGAAGGTGATTTCCTCAATTTCTTAGGCTTCTACTTGCAGAATTTTTTTGGAAGTAAAAGAAGTAGAGCAACATTAATAAATTGGTCTAATATTGAATATGGCATATTCACTTTAAAAGGGAATGAATTGCTTGTTTTTGACAAAGAATTACTACCATATAGTTCACAGGAATCTTCCCAGCCTGGTAGCTTGCCCCTGAACTAGATAAGGTTCATTGGCATTGAAAAGTAAGACCTTGCTTCTTGTGTCTACTAATGATTCCAGACTAATCCCCACTTGACCCATTCTCCTGATTGGAACAGTTTTTTCTTCCAACAGGATTTCACAGTATTGCTGTGCTTAATTTGCCATGTCAGCATCTAGGTTATGAATTAGCTAATTTTCAGAAATATGAACTAGGCAAGTTTTATGTGACATTAATAATGCTTGTTTTCTGTGTTCAAGTCAGTGCAGTGGGAGGGATGAAGAAGATTCAATAAAAGAAGCAGAGATAATGAAGTTGCTTAGGAAAATCTATAGCACAAAGATGTTGTGTTTCTGTATAATGGGAAAATGTTCATGTAAAAATGCATGCCATTTATTGGAATTACAAAGACCATGACCTGTGAGGACTGAACTCTGTTCCCTTAGAATTATTAGCAGCATATTGTGCTAAGCTGAGCATAGTCTATGAGCCAGTTTGTCATGAAGTTGGGGGGAAAAAGTCAGATCGCTCTGCTGTGATTTTAAGGCTCTCGGTTTCTTCTTTTCACTAATAATCGAGGTGGCAGAGAATACATTTCAGTGAATTTGTATTTTATGCGTGGTAAATGACTCGATCACTGAATGGTATATATATTCTTAAAAATATTTTCTAACATTTTTCAGGCCTTAAAAGTTTGAATGAACAGTGGTGGAGGAACTTGTGTTTCAATGCATCTATTTGTTTTATGACAGAGAGACTCCATGAAAGATGACAGAAGAAGTTATTGTTATAGCGAAGTGGGATTATACTGCCCAACAGGACCAAGAACTTGACATAAAAAAGAATGAACGCCTCTGGCTGCTGGATGATTCCAAGACATGGTGGAGGGTAAGAAATGCAGCCAACAAAACAGGATATGTGCCATCAAATTATGTGGAGAGAAAGAACAGCTTGAAGAAAGGCTCCTTGGTTAAAAATCTAAAAGACACATTGGGTAAGTCCTTATCCAAAACCTGAGTTAATTTTACAAATGTTTTATTCAAATGTTTAGCTGTAATGTCGTTTTCAGGATTTGGTTTTTTTAAACGGATATAGGTATAATTTCTGTTAACTCAGATATAGATAGAAGAGGATTTTAATTTGCGAATAGGGCGGGGGGTTTTTTGTAAAGTGAAAACAAAAACTTTTTTTATTCTCTCCTAATGGGGAGTGTTTATTGCCTCATTGAAAGAAAATCAGAAATTGGGGCTTTTGCTTTTAAATGTATTCCAAAGTTCTCTGTTATGAAGATATCAGTGTTCTGTATGCTTTTATTTTATTTATTTATCCTGACATTGTAAGCTGCCTTCTCCATGGATTCATTACATTTGAAACTCAAGGTAGTCATCTAACCTTTATTATTCTGAATAGGTGTCTCAGGTTCAGTGGCACCTTCTGGCCCCAAAACTTGTGGAAATGCAGTCTCAACATGTTTGCTGGGCGAGGGAGGGATTCCTAACCTTGGAGTTGGGGGGAGGCTATTCTTGAACTAGGCAGCTTCTATGGAGCAGGGTTAGTTCTAAGTTCTTCCCATTTAGTATCTTGAGTGAAAAGAGTCTCGTCCAGGATAAAGTGAACAATTAGAATCTATTCTGGATAAAGATGGTTCAAAAAGTTTTTTCATAAAGGAACAAACCATAAAAGATTTCAGCACTATTTTGAATTGGATCTGAGAGCCAAGAGGAAACCGGTGCTGCTCTTGCGGTATGGTATTCTGCTGTATTGATTCTGACTGATTAGCAAATAGGCAGTTCCATTTTGAATCAGATATATGAGTGACTTGCCACACTCACGGCCTAGAAAAAGGTGCAGCTAGTCCCCAGTCATGCATCTCTTAGAAAACAAATAGGGATGGGAATTGTGATCAAGTGGTGTCTTACGTAGCATACTTTACAGTGCCTATATATTGTTAGTTGGAAAAAAAAAAACCTGGAATAATCTTATAAGTTAAATTCTGTAAGTAACATTGTAGTGTTAATAAAACATTATTTCCTCCATCCTCTCCTCAACTCATGCTGTTTTCTGACATCATTTTTCTTTGTTTTTATGTCTCCTACTTCACATAATTGGCTCTTATTGATAGAATGAAATAACAGAGACAGAGAAATGACAAGAGTAATTGTTTTAAGAATAATTAAGTCATACCACAGAGTAGAAACTCAACAAGCATTAGTTTCTGACTTTCCAGAGCCTCATTTTATTAAAGGCCTACATAGTATAAACAGCCTAATTTATTATCTCTCATCTAGCTTTAATGTTTCAAATTTGGTCCAGGAGCAGGCTAGTTGGCCCTCATAGGGCAATATCTTCTTGGGAATCAACCCTAAAACCCTGTACTATACTTAATTCACTCTTTCTTTCTTTCTTTCTTTCTTTCTTTCTTTCTTTCTTTCTTTCT